TTTTTTTTTTTTTTTTTTTTTTTTTTGTATGTCTAGATTTCTCTTGGTGGACAAAAAAAAATGTAAAGAGAATTATAATTATATTATCGTTTCATGCTCAATATTGTTATATTTACTGGATTCTTGAATATAAAGAAAACGAGATCCCTTTCACTTTGTAACTGCACGAAGTTCATCTATCCCGCGTTTACTCTGTATATCTATCACGAATCCTCCTCTTAATTTTTCAGCGATTCACCTTTTTTTTTTTTTGCACAATTGTGCAAACTATTTTCTCATGAATTCTAAATGTATAGAAAAAAAAGGAGACAGGCAGAAAATAACATTATCAGAGAGAAAGAGCGAGAGAGAGAGAGAGAGAGAGAGAGAGAAAGATAGACTTTCTTTTCTGTGCAAATCTCGAGAGAATTCATGGCTCAAATAATGTTTGAACGTACGTGATTCGCGACGTGTACTGCTGGTATTCTAGTTCGTGCTTGTTTATACCTGTAGCCGACCAGTACGATAACGAGCCGTTCGCTTTGAGGTAAGTAATCTAGAGTTGAGCCATAATTGAGACGAACGTGTTCTTATTCTTTTGTGTGCAATTTGATACGCGTTTCGTACAATGCTTGTACACGATACGAAAGCACAGTAGTTCTCGATTAAGAAATTTTTCTAAAAACAAATCGGACTGCGTTCTCGTAAGTTTTATTTCGCATTGAAGTCGACGTAATCGATTGTTGGAATTATTTTAGCCATGACAGTCGAGTCGTACGAAATTCTCCCGGGAATATTGTTTTCGACGATGCTTTTAAGAGGAGCGCGAATAAGAAGAAAAATTGAGCGAAAACATTCGTCCCCTCGCGATCGAATCTGTCTGATCTTAGTTGTATTTGTACGATATTAATTATGGTCGTAAGATAGATATTATAAGGCTACTTGTAAATAAAGACACAAGATTCATCCTGTATTTGAAGTGCAATAATAAAAACACGTTTAATTAGTGCCAAAGTAATTGCAGAGATAACGAAGACACACACGATTATGTCCTACGGAATCTCGCGGCTCTCCACGAGGAATCATCTGTGGCGGGTAATACCATTAAAAAGTATACTCTATCACGGAAGTAATGGCAAAAGATGGATGATTTATCCGTGAAACTTCAGCCACTTTGCCGACTTTACGTAACTTTCGGAGCTTTCATCACGCGCCTTCAGCGATCGTTGGTATGTTAAACGAAGATTGTGAAAATACAAAATACGCGTGTCAGGACAGAGACGCGAGACAAGGTTTTAAATCGCATTTAATGTCTTAATCGATGATTAAGTTTGCTCTTAAATCGAACCTGTTCTTCGAGCTTGATATCAGCGCAAATTACACCGTATTATAACACACATTAATGAACTGTAAACTGATATATTTATAGTCATTCACGATGAACATAATCTCCGATTCATGTATATCACGAAGATAGGTAATCACGATTCCCAAGATTTAATATTGTGCCGCGTCTTGGTTATTCTGATCGTTTGAAAGACAAGTGTGTGACGATAAGCATATCGATAAACTCATTTTTATTTCTCGATGGTAATTATCCTCGTCTCGAGAGTAAGTATAAATTAATTTTAACTTTAAATTACATACGTATTGCTACAACTTTGCAGCATAGTAGCAATATTAATATGCATATCAAAGATTAACTTTAAATAAACGAGTTTCATTGCAATATTAGTGTATTATATTAACTTTGAATAATCGAATTTTACTGTTACATTCCAGTGGGTATAGTTTTCTTTTATATATAAAATTGTATATCCAAATATTATTCTTTAAAACGTATACCCATCCTTTAATGATCGATTAGTAAAGACGATGAATTAGAAAATTTTTAATATATAAAACAGGATTGTACGAAAGGGTTAAGATGAGATATTAAAAAAGAAATTGTCCTGCTTGCTAGAAAGTTCGTTGCTGGAATTGCTTGCTAGAAATTACTTGTTTCCTGGTAGGCAGCAGTGGTCGAATGACCAACTTTCTTTCGATAAAAAAAATTGACCGGGTTCGCTAAGTTTCTTGTAGCGTTGCTGTTCGCAGGCCCTTGAATTTCCAGACGAAAAAAATTGGAAACTCTGCCCCAACTTTCTAACTCGGTTTTAGTTTCATCTTCATCCTCAGTTCTGCAAAATGCTTTCCTCCGATCACCACGCAACTTTCGAATCCAGTCTCGGGAGTGAAAAATATTGCTTTGCCGTGAATTATGAATATCGTTTGTGAATTTGTATCAGCGCGTGCAAGAAGATCAGTGTAGGACTTTGTGCTCTGATGCTTGTGATAAAATGTATTAGAAGTGAACGAAAGTGTCTGTAGTTTGTGAGGTGTTCAACAATCAGTAACAATAGGAATCGCGAGAGAGAAAGAGAAAGACATACTGTATATATTCTTACTTTGATAGATTTGTAATTGAATTGAAAATTCAAATTTTAATTCAAGATTAGAATTTAATTTAAAGTTTAATTTTTAAATTATTCAATTTGTAGACTTTGAAATTTTGCGAGTTTGAATCTTTGAATTTCCAAATTTCGAATGTTTGTCTTTTGAAATCTTTAAATCTTTCAAGTTTTGAATTACTTTAACGACTTATAAACCTCTGAATTCGAGTTTAAAGTTTAGCCTTACATTTCCATTAGCTTCTCTATTTATTCGATGTAATAATAGTAAATCATCGCGCGATAATAAAGGTGTAGAACGCATGTACGAAAAATATTGGACCAGAGAATAACGGAAGATCCAATAACGACGACGGGCTGGTGTAATTTGTAGGACAATATCTTACAATTATCGCTCCCACGTTGACTTGCAAGTAAGTCTTAAATGAAATCTCATGGGCGTTCTTGCGTAAGCCATTTTTTTTTTTTTCATTTGCATTCTGTACTTTAACGTTTATCCAAAATTATTTCTATAAAACTGCTCGGCTAATTTAATAAAAATTTAATAAACTCCCATTGAAAATTTTCAAATAAAAATTTTCTCAATTTCGTACTCAATTTTTCTGGAAATTCTAAGTGAAGAGGAAATTCTAAGTTTAAACGAAGTCAAAAGTAACGCAGTCCTCTTGCAAAATTTTTGCCAATAATTATGAGAGAAATATCTTCACACAAATTTTTCATTTTTTTTTCGCGATGCATATACGTCGTGCGAAGGACACCATAATCTTCTTATCTGGTTGTCGTAACGAAGGTTGATTGTTCGTCACGTTATTCGAAATGACAAACGTTCAAGCGGAACGCAATGTCTTTTTAGTGCAACTCTTATGAAAGAT